TTTAGACTCGGAAGGAGTAATTGAAAATTTTCTTTTAATTGTCAAGGTATTTTTGAGCCAATTAGTGTATATTTTCTTATTCATTTCTTTTCAAGTTAATTAGAAGTATATCATCTATGTCATATTATGAACACCACTAAAATTTAAAAATTTATGAAAAATTATTTCTTATTGTCCTCTTTATCTAATTAAGAGGGTTGCAAGTATAATTAATATACTTTATACAGTTTTTAACAAAAGTCCAAAGTCTAAACTAATTGTATGTTTGGGTTGAAGGGTATGGAGGAGAAAGAAAAGAAGGAAAATTTTTTTCTTTATTTAGGCAAAAAAAAACAAAAAAGAAAAGAAAGAAAGGTTTTCATTTACTTTAATTTATTTTTTAATATGGAAGAATTTTAGAGAATGAAAAAAAAAATTTTAATTATTGGTGAGAGTTAAATTCTTGATTAATTAAATTTAAACACTAAAATTTAAGAAAAATCATTGGTGATAGTCTAAATTCGGACCAACTAAATCTAAGTATTTGAAACAAACTATTGGTCCCAAATATCTAATTCATAACTGTAGATAAAATGGTACTAGTAGATCGTATTCAAAAAATCATATCTTCAATTTGATGCTGAATCTACTAAAAGAAATGCTATCTAAAAAGATTCAAAAAAGGGTTGTTGTAAAAAGAGCTGCTGTAAAAAGAGCTGAAATAACTACTGTGCGAAGGTACAGGTCCACTTCACATGGTGCCTCTCGTGATTGGAGTAAAGAGATAAACTCAATGGTCGCAGTCCCACACCATCACTTTTTAAGTCTATTAATGGATCGAGTGATTATTGTGTTCCCCCCCGAATGCATGTGCACAGTTCCATCGTGCACATAATGCACACCATATCATATAAAATCAATAAATTAAAGCGCCAATTTAACATCCCCGTCAAAAGTTTTTTCTAACTCACCGACAGTTGCAGACCGGAAAGTCGTCCAGCCGTCGACGACGTTCCTGCTCGCCTTCACCACTGTCTTCTCTATCCCATCTCCCACAAACATCAAATTCTTCTTCTTCCTCTCCACCTCCACGTTTTCCAAGTACGCTCCCGCTTTTATATATATCACGAACCTACTCAATAATTACCAACACACGTTTGTAATCATTTAGTTACAATATTTTTTTAAAATGTATTTTAAATGATAAAATATTAATTATTTGAAATAATTTTTATTTTATAATTTAAAACAATATAAATTATAAAGTAATATATTTTTTGTCAAAACTCTTCTTAAG